AATTCTGGCAAGAAGACAGAGCAGGTTCCGCAGCTACTGGAAGTATAAACTGGAACAGCATGCTGGGAAAGCAGCTTGGTGTAACGTGGCTTAGCCACATCTCCCCTTCTCCCACCAGAAGCCACGCAAGCACCCCTGTAGGTAAACACACTGGGTTTGTTCCTCCCTGCAGAGAGGGAGACTCCATCCCATGGGGAGCCAGGAGCTCTTGCTGCGTGAGGCTGTGTGGGAACAAGCCCGTGCTGGGATGAGGGTTTGCAGTGGGTTGGGGGACCTGGGGAGCATCTGAGGGTCTCAGTGTGACCCTGGATTGAATGCTGGTGGGGAGCAGGGGCGCACCTGTGGGGGGGGCATGGTGTAGGTGGTGGGAGGAGGTGAGGCAGCTGTCACCCCCCCAGAGCAGTCCACACGGGCACGTTGGGTCCACTTGCTCTGTCCATGCTCAGATGCGAGCACCAAATCTTGTCTTGGTCTGTCAGGTCGGAGCAGGGCTGTGACACACGCGATACCACGGCACTGCACCTGCACATCACAGACTGTTCTCATTCTTGTTGACTTTTGCCCCAGACAGCTTCCTTTTGCAGACCAATCGTATTAGATACCCGCACAAATGAAAATGGGTCAGCGCACTTCAAAACAGGCATGGAAAAAAATTAAATGAAGATACGTTTATTATGATGCAAAAAAACTTCAAGATCCATGCATTGGTTTTCAATAATACATATTTTCTGTGAATTGTTTGAACCTCACCTATGCATGGATTGCAACATTTTTTGCACTGTGATACACTTACTTTTTTTTTTTTTTTTGACAGGCAGAGTAGACAGTGAGAGAGAGAGACAGAGAGAAAGGTCTTCCTTCCGTTGGTTCACCCCCGAAATGACTACTATGGCAGGTGCGCTGCTCCAAAGGCAGGAGTCAGGTGCCTCTCCTGGTCTCCCGTGTGGGTGCAAGGCCCAAACACTTGGGCCATCCTCCACTGCACTCCCGGGCCACAGCAGAGAGCTGGACAGGAAGAGGAGTGACCAGGACAGAATCCGGTGCCTCAACCAGGACTAGAACCCGGGGAGCCGGCGCCACAGGCGGAGGATTAGCCTAGTGAGCTGCAGTGCTGGCTTGAAATCTTTTTTTTAAAGATTCATTTATTTTACTTGAAAGTCAGAGTTACAGAGAGAGAGGAGAGGTGGGGGGGGGGGAGAGATTTTCCATCCGCTGGTTCACTCTCCAAATGGCCACATAGGCTAGGGCTGAGCCAGGCCAAAGCCAGAGCCTATAGCTTCTTCTGGGTCCACCATGTGGGTGGCAGGAGCCCAAGCACTTGGGCCACCTTCTGCTGCTTGTCCCAGGTGCATTAGCAGGGAGCTGAATTGGAAGTGGAACATCCAGAACTCAAACTGGCGCCCATATGGGATGCCAGCACTGCAGGCAGCGGCTTTACTGGCTATACCACAGCGGTGGCTTTACTGGGTACACCACAGCATTGGCTCCTATTTATTAGTTTGAAAGGCAGAGTTACAGAGACAGGGAGAGACAGAGAGATCTTCCAACCACTGGCTCACTTCCCAGATAGCCGCAATGGCCAGGGCTGAGCCAGGCTGGAGCCAGGAGCTTCTTCCGGGTCTCCTATGTGGCTGGCAGTGTCCATGCACTTGGGCCGTCTTCCGTTGCTTTGCCAGGGGAATTAGCAGGGAACTGGAACAGAAGTGGAGCAGCCAGACTCCAACTGCACCCATATGTGGGTGTTGTAGGCGACAGCTAAACCTGCTCCGCCATGAGGCCAGCCCCTCTACGCACTGTTTGAAGTACCCTTGCAAGTACATCTCTGCATTATTATTAATAGAGAAAATGCCCCCCCAAGTGCAGGTGCAAGGAGGAAGTTCTGTAAGCAGGGCAGAGTGGGGACAAGGCCAAGGAGCACCGGAACACGCGTGACTGCCAGCACATGGTGCACCATACAACTCTGGTGCCGATGTCTCTGAAGACTCCTGGCTCTCTTGGAGTCCTTTCAGGGATCATACCAGAGACGTGAGGTGTGGGACCATAAATGTGGCATACTAGCAACAGCACAAAAGAAATCATTTATTCATTCAACACACACTTCTTGAGGACTGTCTTCCTAGGGAAGGACCCTGTTCCATCTCTTCTGTCTGTGATTCATGGCCATGTTGAAGGGAAAGGATACAGCATGTCCCAGGGGGAGCCTGGCAAAGCCCCTGGACTAGGCTCTGGGAGATCTCTCCACCAGGGCTGATCAGGTCTAGAAATTCAATTTTTTTTCTTTACTCCCAGATACCCAAAACTGATGGTGTTTCTCAGGACCAAACAATAGCACAATGCATAACTCATAACACAATTCATAACTTGCCAACATGCCTTGTGCACAGTTCTAACCCTGCTGTGTCATGTGCCAGCTGGGACAAACCTCTCAGGTGGGAAGACACCACGGTGAGCCTCAGCAGCTTTTGGGTACCAGAGAGACCTGGTTTGGCCTCAGAAGGGATCTGGCTGACCCTAGAGCTGGAGCTAGGTGCAAATGCGCCATCTTGGGGGAGTCACCCAGGTCCCCAGAGGGATCAAAACCCCTCTGCAAAAGGATGCACTTTGGGGATGGTCCCAACAGGCCTTTGCTTTTGATGTATACTGTGTAAAAAAGACTATTCTAGAGCTTAGAAGCGGGGTCATGTCTATGGACTTTCGTCTCTTCTGGGCTATGCTGAGAAGCTCATGCCAAGAATCTGGCCCTCGTGCTGAATGCAAACAAAATCCCTCTTCACTCCAGTACGTGCTGACCAGGTGACCCAGCCCCTTGCAGCTGCGCCAGCCACGGTCGGTGTCTGAGGCACCGTGCAGTGAATCAGTGCAAGCTGTCGGAGCCTGCTCCCAGCACACCCTGCGCAGCAGCCCCTCCTGCTGCTCACAGGCACCCAGAACCCTGTAGGAGACGCACAGATCCAAACTCTCTTCCAATGTGCACGGCTGCTCTCCTCCCTATCAGATAGGGCAGCCAAGGACTGCAAACAGTTCAGCCCCAGCCTTAAACCCTAGACGGTAGCTCTGCGGGTCCTGATCTCAGGCGACAGAGGAAACTGGCATGGGTTTGGGAGTGTTGCCTCCTATTTCTGCTTTAGCGTCTCCCCTCCTGGATTGCAGAGGCAATTCTGTGTAAGCAGCTAGGGATTGGTCTGATTGGGGATCCTTCCATCTGGCTGGGGTTTGCACGGCCAGAAGTCTGTCTGTCCACCTGGCTTGGTACCTAACTGGCCACTCAGCTAGACAGTGGTCCCCCTGACTCTGGTTGAGGGTGGTTATGCCACTGGCTGGCTGGGAGCCACCTGTCCAATAAGGGTCCACCTATCCAAAAGGATGCCTACCTCCCTGAAGGGCTGGGGACTTGTCTTTCTGCTTGTGTCTGTCTGTCTGACCGTGTGAAGGATCCGCTGATCTATTTCATCTGTTCAGCTAGGAGAGCGTAAGATCTGCCCAACTGGAGATGCTGATGGGAGGGTCTGTCCATCTATCTGCCCAGCAGCATCGGCATCAACGTATCTGCCCCATTGTGGGTTCTGTGTAGTTGCAGGGGTGTGTCTGCCTCCTGAGGGATGCACCTGTCTCGCTGGTGGGGAATCTGGAAGGCTGGCTGGTTGTGCAGTCAGGGTTCTATCAGTGTGGCTGGTGTCTGTCCGTCTGGGAGTGGCAGCCTGGTTACGCGGAAGGTACTGCAGGCCTCAGGTGGAGGGTTAGGGCCTGTGCAGCTGTGATGTCTATGTGACCAGCTGGGAATGTTTACATTTGTCTGAGAGTTGCTCAGCTAGGTGCCCCACCTGACAGTGGGGTCTGTCTTCTGGGGGCTCTGTCTGTCCAGTGGTCTCTCTGGCTGATCTGTGTGGGACTGGTGTGTGTGGCTGCTTGCTAGTCTGTCTCTCTGGCTGAGCAGCCATCTGCCCAGCCATGGACTGGCCCTCTGATGGTCTGTGTGGGGTTCTGTGTGGCTGCTTCTCTGTGGTCTGTTTATCTGGGGCCGATCTGCCTGGCTGTGGCTCTCCTGACTGGGATGTCAGTGGCTAAGGGTCCCTGAGGGTCCATCCCTTTCTCTATGGGGTTCCTTGGGTGCTCGGGAGGCTCAGATACTGAGGAACAGCCCATTATGTGAGGCAGGAACAGTCTTGGGAGGTCCACCTGTCCATCCTTCCCTTCACAACCCAGGGACTGTGCCCACTCCCCACATTCTTTCTTTTTAAAAATACTTTATTTTTATTTATTTGAAAGGCAGTGTTACAGAGGAGTAGGGGGAGAGACAGAGGTCTTCCATCCACTGCATCCCTCCCCAAATGGCTGCAACGGCCAGGGCTGGGCCAGATGGAAGCCAAGAGCCAAGAGCTTCATCTGGATCACCCACAGAGGTGGCAGGAGCCCAAGCACCTGGGCCATCTTCCGTTCCTATATCCAGGTCATCAGCAGGGAGCTGGACCGGGAGTGGAGTGGTGGGGACCCGAACCTGCGCCCAAATGGGATGCCGATGTCCAACGAGGGAGCCCCATCACATTCTTTCTTGAATCGGCTGAGAGCAGCCCCACCTGCCCTTAGCCTCAAGCTTTGAATGCTATCATCATGGGGGCTTAGCCCCCACATTTCCCACCCTGAGAAGTTCTTATTGTGATCCAGACCCAGCGTCCCCATTCCCAACCTGTGCCACTTCAGAGGCACCAGTAGAATCCAAGGCACACATGGGACAACAGGCCGGTGGGGGCGCGCTCACACCTGGGTCCAGTGGGCAGGCGGGTCTCGCGGCCCTTTTGGCTTTCCAATGCGCTGGTTGAAGCCTGGGGGAAGAAGGGTAGGGTGCAGAGGAGCTGTGGACGGCTTGCATGCCACTGCACCCCAAGCCTCGAGGGGCTCCCGGTTCATTACAGCCACATCCACAGGCCTCTAAGGGCCTGGGCCCCCCCAGCCCTGAACCCCAAACTCCTGTCCTGGGGTCGGTGTCTCAGGCTCTGACTTACCTAGCCTACTGGTCTGCGCCCCATCGGCAACATCCTCATAAGCATCAGGTCCCTCAGGGCTTTGGTTAGCAGGAGCTGTGGGCAGGAGACCCCCACTCGCAGGTCAGCTCAGTTGGCCCCCACCCCCGGCAGGGACCGGGCCTCAGAGACCCAGGGAGGCAGACTGGGGGTGGCGCCCGGCGGGAGTGGGAGTGACCAAGTCTGGAACATCCGCCCATGGCGCACAAACCAAACAAGCTGACACTGCTGGGAACCGAGCTTGGGCTGGCCTGGGGACGTGTTTCACGGGCAGGGAGGTGCTCAGGGGGCGTGGCTAGGGGGAACCCCAAGCTCAGCCTCGGGGAGGGGGTGGGAATGGGCAGGAGCCCAGCAAGTTGGGAGACCCAAGAAGGAGCAGGTGGGTGGCGGCCCGCCCCAGCCCCATCCCCGCGCCCAGCGCCCCGGACGGGACTCGACTCACCCTGCGCAGGCATTGGCCGCCTCGCGTCCTCGGAGTGCGCCCCCGACCGCAGGGCGCGCGGTGTCACCTGACTGTAGAGCTTCTCCCCCTCGGGGTCTCCGGTCCGCGCCCCGGGGCCCGCGCCCGCCGGGGCCCCGCGCTTCTGCACCACCGCGTACGTGTGGGCCATGGCAAGGGTCGGCGCCCCGGGCACCGAGATGCTTCTGCGGGTGGGGAGCGCGCAGAGGAAGTGAAACGGCGGCTCCCGTGGCCCGCGGGGGCGGGGAGCGTGAGCCGAGCAAACCGCAGGCTTCCTGCTCGCCCAGACAGCGCGCAGGGAAGGAGGGCGACGGCGGCAAGGTTCGGAGGGCAGAGGGTGGGGTCTCCTGAGCACGTTCTCAGCGACCCGCCAGTTAAGTGGGTGACAGAGCGGGCGGGGCCGGCGTGGCAGGTGGACGGGGCAGGGCCCTGGAAAGCAGTGTGGTCCTGTCTGTGAACGTGTATATGAAACAAAAGATTGAGGAAGTGGCGCCTAAGGGGGGTTAGAGGCTAGCCCCAGGATGGAGGGCTCGCCCCAGGGCCGATGGGGGCTGAGAGAGGGTGAAATCTGCGTTGAAGGAGGGTCAGCCCCATACTTGCACCACCCAACATGAGGCCTGGCAAGTAGCGGAAGTCGTGACTGGCTGGAAGAGCGAAAGAAGGGCTAGCCTCGGAACATGGGCCAGCCTTAGCGGCAGGGAGGCCGTGGGGGCGCCAGCATCGAAGAGCCACCCTGGGGGCAGTTTGCAGAGCTCAGACTGTGAGGGGAGCAGCATGGGAGGGCTGGCCCGGCAAGGGCCAGAAGAGGCAGCAGCGCCTGAGCGAGGAGGGAGAGGCAGGGGTGCGGCCGGTACCTGAGGACCTCGCCTGCCGGCCGGGGTGCTGTACCCAAAAGGGCTGGGGACTTCCGGAGGGAGTCGACCTCGGCGTAGACGGGGGAGCAATTCTAGGGAAGACAAGAGGGGAGGGTGCTGAGCTTGGCGGGGTGGGCTCCCCGGGGACTCGGAGGCCAGAGGAGGAGGGCCTCGAGGGCAGACGGGAATGGGAGGGGGCGGCAGTACCTCCTTGAGGTCCTGGTGGCGGGGGCTGGCCCTCTGCAGCGCGGAGCGGAACATCTGCGCCACCGTGTGGTACAGGAACCGATACTGCTCCTGTTGGGGTGACGGCCCGTCAGGAGGGGAAGCCGGGAAGGGCTGGGCTGCTAACCCCGCCTGGGTCCCCGGGGCGCACCTCCGTCTGCACCGCGGAGGGCCGCTGTTTCCGCAGCTCCAGCACCACGTTCGAGAGGCTGAAGTTCGGTGGGATCATCTGGGCCAGAGAGACGTGTGAGCAGACCCCGCGGAGGTGCGGGGCACCCACCGGGCGCGCCGAGGCCCGCGGGGTACCTTGGTCAGCAGCAACTGCCTCACGTAATCCACCGTGCACAGGACACCGGTTCGCCCGCAGCCCGCACTGGCGAGGGAGAATCAGGGTGCGGTTGGTCAGGGGGTCTGCCCGCAATCACTTTTAAGTGGTCCATTTGGGGGGCAGTGTCTTGGCGTGACAGATTAAGCCACCGCCTGTAAGGCTGACATCCCATATAAGCATGATTGGAGTCCCAGCTGCCCCACTTCTGATCCAGCCCCTGCTAAGGCGCCTGGGAAAGCAGGGGAGGATGGCTCAAGTCCTTGGGGTCCTGCACACATGTGGGAGACCTGGAAGAAGCTCCTGGCTCCTGGCTTCAGCCTGGCCCAGCCCCCAGCCATAGCAGCCATCCAGAAAGTGAACCAGCAGATGGAAGATCTTTCTCTCTGTCTCTCTCTCTGTAACTCTGTAAATCTATTTTTTTAAAAATAGTGCATTTGGGGCTGGGAATGAAGTCCCTAATTTGAGGACCTCCATAAGACCTCTTGATTCTCAGAATCCTCCAATTACAATTTCTAAGGAAAAACTTCATAATTGCTTGCCTATTTGGGGTATTAACTGTGTGCTGCAGATAGCCTGTGCTCAACAAAAGCTAACTCCAATCCATGCAGCAAACAAGTGTCTGGTGTCTCAAAACCCACACACAGAAGGGCAAGGCTGGCCCTAAACCTTGCATCCCCTCCCACCTCCCTCCCCTCCCGCATCTCCTCACCAGACCCCCATAAAGTCCAGTCCCCGAACCTGCAGTGGATGCAGAGGGGTCCAGGGCCTGGTCCATGGAGGCGCCGGGCTTCTTCCACCATGGTGAGCACATTGTCAGAACTGCTGGGGACCCCGCGGTCTGGCCAGGAAGTATACTGCAACTGGTGCACGGAACGGGATTCCTGAAACAGAAAAAAAGGGAGCAAAGAAGAGAGAGAGAGAGAGAGAGAGAGAGAGAGAGAGGATGTTTCTCAAGCACCTACTAAATGCCAGGCCTGGCTTTAAGCACCTTCCATTTAAATCTCCTTGATAACAGTTGAGGACAGGGACTGGCATTGGTCTTGTGGCACAGTGGGTTAAGCTGCCACTTGTGATGCCTACGTCCCATCTCAGAGTGCTGGTTCGAGTCCTGTTTTAATTCAGCACCTTGTTAATGAGCTTGGGAAGGCAGCAGAGATGGACTAAGTAGTTGGGGCCCTGCCATTCACATGGGAGACCACAATGGATTTCCTGTCTCCTGGCTTCAGCCTGGCCCAGCCCAGCTGTTTTGGGCATTTGGGGAATGAACCAATGGATGAAGAAGATCTGTGTGTGTCCTCCTTTCTGATGCTCTGTGTTTCAAATTAATTTGAAAAAAAAAAAAATGGTTTGAGGAGGTGGTGCTGTTGTGAACGCCCATTTTACAGAGAAGGAAACAGAGAACAACTCTCCCCCTCTGTTGGTACCTTCTTGAATGTGACCTGGAGGGTCCTGTGCACAATGTCCGAGTTCAGCCGTGCCTCCTTGGCCTGAGAATATGGGGTAAGAGGAAAGACACAGGAGAACCAAAATGGAGGGTGCCAAAGACACACATTTGTAGAAAGCAAAGCAAAAGCCTGTTTAGAAACTTCATGTAGCCCAAACATTCCCCAGATCTAACATGTTTCCCTGAGTTCTTTCAGAATGCTAAGAGAGAGAAAGATTTCAAGAACCCAACCTGGCACGTTTACATGACAGATGGAACTGTGATCATAGCCACAGTAAAAACACAGTCAACCCATATATCAAGTCAAGGGTATTTGCACATCGGCATCAGAGAGCTCCATGAATCTCCCATAGTTGTGAGGTTTTGGGGGGAAAGGAGCCATCCACCCTGGATATCATCCTTGAAGTGTCCCCATCATCCATCGTCCAAGGCTGCACACCCCTGCTCCCACCTCAGTCCCAGCTCACCAGGGTAATGCAGAAAGGCCCAATCTGCAGTGGCTCTTGCTCTTGGGCCCAGTAACGCTCACACTTCTTCTGTGAAAAGTAAAGAGAAAGCACAGAATGAGGAGGGTGGAGTCACTTTCAGAGCTGCAACTCAACAGTCCATGCCCTCACAGGACAGCCCGGGCTTCTGGTGGGACCACAGGCAGCTGCAGCTGTGATGGAGGCTGGTGGCAGAGTGGTCAGATCACACATATGCACACCCAAGGCAGGTGAGCTGCTGGCCTGGCGGGAGGAAGACGGTCCAGGGAACCCCACACTGTTAGCAGCCAAATCACCAGACATGAAACCTGAACCCTACTCTCTGGCACGAGAAAATAGGCATTTAGGGAGGTGGTGCCTGAGCAGACTGCCCCAGCTCACAGCTTGGAGTGAATCCCCAGGCTGGAGGATGTGAGCAATCTAGTGACCTCACTGAGCTGACAGCTGGGGCAGCCAGAAGTGGCAGGACAGAGTCCCAGCGAGAACAGACAAAAGCAAAACACAGCACAACACAAAACAAAAACCCACTACCACCTGAAAACCTTCCAAAAATCTGCACAGGGGTCCCTGTTCCTCGAGTCTGGCTGAATAATAATCTGAGAATATACCAGGAGCCTTCATGGAAAGTATGTATTACGATAAACAAGGCATGGGTTTTTGTTGCACTAAATTAAACTTCTCTTTTAATTCTACTTCCTATGAATTTGTTTTGATGAACAGTGATATTGTCTTCTTTAAAAAAGATTTGTTTATTTATTTGAAAGAATTACAGAGAGAGAAAGAGAGAGAATCTTCCATCTGCTGATTAACTCCCCCAGATGACCACAACAAGCCAGGAGCCAGGAGATTCTACTGGGTCTCCCACTTGGGTGGCAGGGGCCTGAGTACTTGCTGCCAAATATCCTTGGCTGCCTCTCTAAGCCATTAGCAGGGAGCTGGAATGGAAGGGAAGCAGCCAGAACACTAACTGTCTCCCACAAGGGATGCCAGTGTCACAAGTGGTGGCTTCACCTGCTATGCCACAATAGTGACCCATCCATGATTTATTTTATTTATTCAAAGTCAGAGAGGGAGAGAGAGAGAGGAGGGGAGATCGTCCATCCCCAGGTTCATTCTCCAGATGGCTGCAATGACTGGGACTGGGCCAGGCTGCAGCCAAGGAGCCAGGAACTTCATCCTGGTCTCCCATGTGGATGGCAGGGGCCCAAGGACTTGTGCCACCCTCCATTGCTTTCCTAGGTGCATTAACAGGGAACAGAAGGGAAAGTAGAGCAGCCAGGACTTGAACTGTGCTTTGATGTGGAATGCTGGAGTCACAACTGGTGGCTTAGCCTGCTGCACCAAAATGCCAGCCTCTTTCCCTGAACTTTTTGAAGGATAGGGTGAAATCCCATGAGGCCAGGCAAGAATAACATTCCGTGAGAGCATGAGAACTAGGGATCCACAGGATGAATGTCCCTTTGAGTTCAAAGAGGGCAGAGATGCGATACCTTCGCTCCAGCCAGAGAGGAAAGGCCTCACTGATGGTGAGGAGCAGTCAGTAGAGGGAGCCCGAGGGACCTCTCATTGCAAGTAGAGCTAAGTTGGCTCTGGAATAAAGACCACTGCGGACCCGCCCTGAAAGAGCTGGAAAACAGACTTCAAAACGATCCGGTACCCACAAGTAACTGAACTGTCTTCCTCAAAGAGTGAAACACCCTTCAAAGGGAGACAACAGAACCTAACACTTAACCTGTATAAAAACCCAAAATGTTGACCACCCAATAAAAATTTACTAGACATATCAAGAAACAGGAAAATTCAACCCACAAACAGGAGAAAAGTCAGTTGGCAGAAAAAGGCTGCCAATGTTTTGGCCTACAAATCAGGAACAAGGCAAGAAAGTTCACACTTCCATGTGTACTGGAAATTCTAGCCAGTGCAAATAGGGGGAAAAAAGACACAGAGATAGATAGACAAACCGACAGATTGAGGGAGATGGATAGATAGAGAAAAGGGAGATGGATAGATAGAGAAAAAGGAGGTGAGAAGAAAGGGAGAATGTGAGGATGACAGGATGGGCACCCAGACTGGAAAGGAAGAGACAAAACTGTCATGATTTACAGATGACATGATCTTATGTGTAGAAAACCCTAAAGAATACACACACACAAACACACACACACACACACACACTCACATTATTAAAGCTAATGAATGAGTTCAGCAAGATTATGAGCTATGAGATCAGTAGGGGAAAAGCAACTGTGTTTCTACAATTGTATTCAGTTTACAATAACCCAATGAAGAAGACAAGTCATTGACAACAACCTCAAAAAGCACTGTTCACTTCCTAGGAAGAAATTTAATAAAGGTGCAAAATTTGTGAACGAAACACCAACAAAGCACTGGTGAAAGAAATCTAAGAGGATCCAGACAGACGGACAGATACCTGTGGTGACAGCCTGGCAAACAATAGCCAAAGCTCCCCCATTCGACCTCCCCGGTCAAAGCGGCCCCTGTGAAATCCCAGCTGGAGTGTTGATGACACTGACAAGCTGAGCTTAAGACTCCTATGGAAATGCAAGTGTGTCATGTGCACGGGAGGTCACGCCCAGGTTCAGTGACTCACTGTGTGACACACACAGCACTCAGCATAGAGTCATACGCACAGACATGACTTGTTACACTGACAGGGCACAGAATAAAGCCAGCAAGGGGCAAGAGTGTGAAGAAAAGAAGGCAGCAGTTCCCTAAGGTCCTCTCCCATGGAGCCACACAGCAACAAGCAGTGGCAACACACGTGGAAGGTTGGCCACTGGGAGCTCATTAGGGCTCAGTGCCCAGAATTTTTACCAGGGGGCATATTCTGCACAGCGTGTAGGCACCTCCTGCTCAGCAGGTACCCTAATATCAGGTTTCCAGAAGGAAAGAAGGTCTTTGGCATCAACCACCATAGAAACAGTTGGGGCACCAAGAGCCACTCTAACTAGCAGTGCAAGTTGTCAGAGCCAGCCAAGAGCCAAACTTACAGGAAAGCCTTTTTAAGCATAAGCAGTTATGCCTGCAGCATCAGCTCTTTTCTACACAGCAAGGGATCCACCCAGAAGAGCCAAAACAATGAAAATTTAAAAAAACAAAAACAAAAACAAAAAAAAAACGGAGGACTCACACTTTCTGATTTCAAAACTTACTGCAAAGGTGCCAGAATCGAAAGTGTGTTTTACTGGCACAAGGATGAACATATTGGTCAAGAGAATAAAACAAAGTTCAGAAATAAGCTCTCCTATTCATGATCAACTAATTTTCAAGAGTGCCAAGTCCATTGCATGGAAGAAAGTATTGTTTCATTTTACAACCAATAGTGCTGGAATAATTGGATAGTCACATGCAAAAGAATGAATTTCGATTTCCTATAACATAGTCTATACAAAAATTCAGATGAATCAGAGACTTACAACTACAAAACAATGGGGCTGCCAGCATCCCATATGGATGCAGGTTTGAGTCTCAGCTGCTCTACTTCTAATCTAGCTCCCTGCTATATGGCCTGGGAAAGCAGTGGAATTGGCCCAAGTGCTTGGGCCCCTGCACTCGCCTGGGAGACCCGAAAGAAGCTCCTGGCTCCTGGCTCCTGGCTTTGGATTGGCCCAGCTCCGGCCATTGCAGCCATGTGGGGAGTGAACAAGCAGATGGAAGATCTCTCTCTTTCTGCCTCTGCCTCTGCCTCTGCCTTTGCCTCTCTCTCTCTCTAACTCTGACTTTCAAATGAATAAATAAATCTTTTTCAAAAATCAATCTTAAAAAACCAACAACTCCAAAACACTTGGAAGAAAACACAGGAGTAAATATTTATGACCTTTAATGAGCTGGTAACTTCTTAAATGCCAAATCAAAAACATAAGGAAAAAAATCCAATCCGTTAAATGTATCAAAATTTAAAATTTTTTGTAACTTAATTTTTTGAGGTAATATATTTGTTAATTATGTTATAGTCAAAAGCTCAATGGCCCTACTAAATAAACAGTTCAACAAATAAAAAGCAAAAAGACCTATGTCAGCAGGAAAATAAGCAATAAACAATAATCAGGTGAAAAAACTTTTCAACTTCACTCATATAAAGGAAATTTAAAACAGCAGCAAAATCCTTAAAACTGTGATGCTACATAATTCCTATCAATCTGTTTGGCAATGACCTAAGACAAAGTTTGAGCAAAAATACTGTACAAAATGTTTAATGTTTATGCTTCAATGGACACTGACAGGAAAGCTAAATGAAAACTCACAGAACACACAGGAGAGATTTGTAAATGAAGACTTGCTCCATCATAAAAAGACAAATAACCCCAAATAGCCCAATTTAAAAATGGGCAAACGATGTGAACAGATAGGTATCCAGAGGAGAAAGAAAAACAAGGAAATAAGCACAGAAAAATAAAACCTCAATGGAGACCACTTCCCACTCCTTAGGATGCCACCTGCCCACACCCCCCCACACACACACACACAGCTGTTGGTGAGTATGTGGAGAAATTGGAAGCCCTGGTGGGAATGTAGAATAGTGCAGCCACTGTGGAAAAGAAATTAAAAGAGAGAGAGAGAGAGAGAGAGAGAGAGAGAGAGAGAGAGAGAAGGAAACAAGAAAGAAAGATGGAATTGTCAGATACTCAGCAATTCCACCCCAGGTGCCTACACAGTGAATTGAAAAGAGACTCGGATTCTTGACACCACTGCTCATGGCAACACTATTCACAATAGCCAACAGATAGAAACAACCCCAACATCCATCCACAAAGAAGGGGTAAACAAAATGGGACATGCACATACAAAGACAAAGGATTTCAATACAATGGAATAAGATATGGCACAACCTGGATGAGCCTTAAAAACATGCTCAGTGAAATCACACAGAGACAGCAGGGTAAGTGCTGTACAATTCCGTTTATGTGCAGTACCTACAATAGGTAGATATGCAGAGACAGAGGGTAGAACAGAGGGGAAGGGGACTGGGGAGGTGATGTTTAATGAGTCAAGTTTTCCATTTGGGATGATGAACAAGTTGTAGAAATGGATGGTGGCCATAATGAGTGTCCTTCCTTCATGCCACTTGAAATGAATAAAATGCGGAATTTTATGGGATGTGTGTATTGCCACAACCAAAAAAGAAAAAAATACAACCAAAAAAAAAAAGGACACCCTCTATAAAAAAGACAACCAAAAAAAAAAAAAACAGCAAAAAAGTACTGGTGAGTATGTGACGAAATGGAAGTCCTCATAGATTGTTAGCGTGAATGCAATATGGTGCATTGACACCCTGTGAAGAATGGTTTACCAGTTCCTCAAAATGTGAACATAGCATTTCCATATGAACCAATCAGTCATGGCTAGGTGGAGAGAAATGAAAACACGCCTCTACACAAAGACTTGGACGTGAATGTTCACAGCAAGGTTATTCATAACCATCAAAAAATGGAAGTCCCTCCAATTCTATAAACTGAATGCGTAGTTGTGGCAGGTGCTTTGTGGAAGGTGATGTGTTGATCCATGCTGCAGTATGCATGAAACTCAAAAACATGCTAACTGAAAGAGGCCCTTCACCAAGATTGCATATTGTGATTCCATTTACATGAAATGTTCAGAACAGGCAAAGCAGTAGAGAACCAGAGTGGGTTAGGGGTTGCCCAAGGCTGTAGAGGTTGGTGGGAAATGGGGAGAAACCATTCGAGGGTATAGGATTTCTTTTTTTTTTTTAAGATTTATTTATTTTATTTATTTGAAAGGCAGAGGCAGAGAGAGAGAGAGAGGAGAGAGGAGAGAGAGAGAGAGAGAGAGAGAGAGAGAGAGAGAACCATTCACTGGTTCACTCCCCAAATAGCCACAATGGCTGGAGCTGTGCCAATCCAAAGCCAGGAACCAGGAGCCTCTTCCAGGTCTCCCACTCAGGTGCAGAGGCCCAAGCACTTGGGCCATCTCCCGTTGCTTTTCCAGGCCATTAACAGGGAACTGGATTGGAAGCAGAGCAGCCAGGACTTGAACCGGCACCCATATGGCATGCCAGCATGGCAGGCGGTAGCTTTACACACTATACCACAGAGCCAGCCCCCAAAATTTCCTTACGGGGTGATGCTAACCTCCAGGCATATGCTAAAAGCAGCTGGGTTGTACATGTTAAGTGGGTGATGGCATCTCAGTGATCCAGAGAAGAAATAATAGCATATGGTGGCTGACGCCATGGCACACTGGGTTCTAATCCCAGTCAGGGCGCCAGATTCTGTCCCAGTTGCTCCTCTTCCTGTCCAGCTCTCTGCTGTGGCCAGGGAGTGCAGTGGAGGATGGCTCAGGTCCTTGGGCCCTGCACCTGCATGGGAGACCAGGAGAAGCACCTGGCTCCTGGCTTTGGATCAGCGCGGTGTGCCAGCCGCAGCACACTGGCCACAGCGGCCATTGGAGGGTGAACCAATGGAAAAGGCAGACCTTTCTCTCTGTCTCTTTCTCTCAGTGCCCACTCTGCCTGTCCAAAAAAAAAAAAAAAATAGCATATGGTGAAGTATATTTTATGTATTTAGGACTATGTACTCTGTTAGAAGTACTATGTACTATGTACTGTATTAGAAGTATTGGTGGGGCCAGAGCTGTGGCATTGTAGGCTAAGCCTCTGCCTCGCCCTGGCATCCCATATGGGCACCAGTTTGGGTCCCAGCTGCTCCTCTTCTGATCCAGCTCTCTGCTGATGGCCTGGGAAAGCAGTAGAAGATGGCCCAAGTGCTTGGGCTCCTGCACCTGCGTGGGAGACCCGCAAGAAGCTCCTGGCTCCTGGCTTTGGATCAGTCTATCTCTGAGCATTGTGGCCTTTTGGGGAGTGAACCAGCAGATGGAAGATCTCTCTCTGTCTCTCCCTCTCTGTGCTGTAACTCTGCCTTTAAAATAAATAAATAAATAAATAAATAAATAAATAAATAAATAAAATCTAGAAGAAGAAGAAGAGGAGGAGGAGGAGGAGGAGGAGGAGGAAGGAGAAGAAGAAATTGGTAAGAACAAAAAGTAGGACAAGGGAAAGATCCAGGAGTTGTGGGAGGATCCAGGATGGTCTCCTTGAGGTCTGAGCATCTGCACCAACACCTGGAAGAGGTTTACAGAGCCAGCCAGGGTAGGGGAAGGGCTTAGGAAGAGGGGACAGCCACGCTCAGGTCTAGAGGCAGGAATAGCAGAGCCCAGAGAGTTCCAGCTGAATGAGAGAGAGAGAGAGAGAGAGAGAGAGAGAGGTGTAGAGAAATCCGGGCAGTACAGGGGCACTGGTCAGTACAGGGGGCTGTCCTATGGTATGGAGTGGCCCAGCAGGTGAGCCCCATGAGGAAAAGCAAAAAGACTAATCCACAAAACTACAGAGAGGCGTAGTGAGCCTCCCGCGGAGCAGTGAGGACAGTCTAGAAACCCGTCCTGGGCCACGGACGGGGCTTCCTCCTCCCTCCCCCCGGCACAGGGACAGCACGCTGGGGCCTGAGGACACCTACCCGCCCGTTCTCCGTCTCCCGACACGCCATCAGGATCACCTAGACGCGGAGGGACACGCAGCTGATGCGGGCCAGGGAGCCGGGGAACCAGAACGCCGCCCGCCCTCCCGGGCGCTGACCTTCACCCTGAACTCCCACACCAGGCGCCAGAAGTCCTGCAGCGTGTGAGGCAGCGGTCCTTGCGTGGCGATGTAGGCCCGGCTCCCATCTGCGCCCTGCGGGAGGCGCGGTCAGCGTGGGGACGCCCCGGTCCGCCCCGCCGCCCCCAGGGCGCCCTCGCCCCGATCCCGGGCCTGACCCTGATAAAGTTGCCGTTGATGTAGTCGCCGTGTCCCTCCTCCTGCAGCAGGGAGAGGATCACTCGCGTGCGATCATCTGCCAGCCGGCGAGGCGAGAAACGAGGGGTTTGGCGGTGCTGGGGCGTCCGCGCACCTGCCGGGCTCCCCTCCCGTTCCAGGCACCCGCGGGAGCGCAACGGGTGACACCTGCACGGCTGCGGGGCGGGGCGCGCGCACCTGGCTCCCCGCCAGAGCCCCCCACTCACAGGGCAGCACGTCTTTGTAGCGGTTCTTCTTCGCATTCCCCGGCAGGCTGCCGGCCTCGGCGGTGCACACTCTGTCCCTCTTCCAGGCAGCAGAGCGGGCCTGGATATCCTGGTGGCGGCAGTGGCGGGGGACAGGGCAGCGCAGTCATGAGGTCCCGGGTGAGAGGGGGGGTGCAAGGAAGCCCCCAGCGGCGCAGGCCTGGCTGCTCGTAGCGACAGTGAAGCCATGAATGGCAGCATTGACCCGTGCAGGTGAGCGAGCTGACGCACAGGTGGGCGAGTGACTTTGCCAAAGGTGCCTGTGCGGTGAGGGCGAAACCCAGACGCTTCGGCACGCACCCCCGCCCCGCACCCTCTGTCGGCTGTTGTGTGGCTGAAGGCAGCAGATGTGAAGAAGCTTGCGTTCCCGGACCCCAAGAAGGATAAGAAACAAGCGATGGGATGCAAGATGCGCTGTAGGTGACGTCATACACCAAATGTGTACACGCGGGTCACCTGCATTTCCATTCTATCTGAATTGTATTTTACGTTTAGCAGGCACATCTTCATTTTCTCTACAACACTTTTACATGCGCGTAGACAAATGTATATTAATCTGGGAGGAAGTCTTCCAAAAGTTCGCAAGAGAGAAAATCGCATGACCTCCGAGTTTTTCCGCATCCAAAATACCCTTATGTTCTAATAAGGGTTTTCCAGGAGCCCTTTGATTGCATAACGTCGGTTGTGAGTTGCAACCGTCACAGGCTGTGCCTGTCGTATGGTTTTTATGGAGTTATATTCATGGTACACATTGCCATTGAAAAGCAAGGCTTTTTTAAATATTTAGAACATGACGCCTATTTCTGCCTAGATTGCGTCTGCCTCTGTGTTTGCACGTGCGTGTTCGCGCTTGAAGCCTCGCGTTTGCCAGCCCTGCTGCAATACCCAGCGTCCCACTCCGGAAAGTGAGCGTCCAGCGCGAGTGCCTTGGCCATCGGCATCCCGGGTCCGCGGAGGGAGATGCTGAGGTCACCGGGCCCAGTGGGTCGCCCGGCAAAAGGCCGGGGGCGTGTACACGCCCGCCTCGGCACCCCGCTGCCCTGGCACGTCTCTTAACACCCCGAGCTCCCGTGCAGGTGTGCAGCGCGCTCGCCGGGAGCGCTGGAGGACACCCGGACCTGAGCGCGTGTGCGGCCCCTCCCAGCTTCGCGCGGACTTTGTCCGCTGGGGCCCTGCTGGCTGCGGGTGAAAGAGCCACAGAGGAGCGGGGTAAAGAAAACAAGGGATTGAGGGAGAAAGCGAAAGCGAGAGCGAGAGAAAGAGGGAGAGAGAGAGGCAGAGGCAGCGGGGCGCGCCAGGAAGGCGGCCGTCAGGCCGGTGGGGCCAGGGGCCGCAAGGCTGTCCACACTCGCTCACTCACGCTGAACTCGCCGGCCAGGACCGCCCCTTCCCAGCCGCCCCTCTCCTCCAGCTGCTCCAGGAAGTTCCGCGCCGCGTCCAGGCTGCGGCTCATGGCGCTGTCCGCCTACGAGGTGTAGTCCAGTCGCTTCGCCGGGCGCTCGCCGCGAGTGTAGACACCGCGGGAAGCGCTGGCCCAGCTAAGGGGGCCCCGCCCCGCCCCCGCCAGCCAATGGAAGCGCGCAGCGGCTGGCGGGGTGCGCCCCACGGCCAATGGCGTTCGGCGCTCGCCTCGCCCACGGCCCCAGAGCAGGGGCCAAGCTGGAGCCCCGCATTCTCGCTGGCTGGGCCTGGGAAGTGAGTCGCACGCGGGCGCTACCCTTTCTTTGTGGCTGCAGCGCCCGCAGATTGATCCCCACAGTCCCATGCAGACTTCCTCCCTTTTGGACACACCCGTACCTCAGGGAACTCGACCTCCCGGGGCGGGCTCTGGGTGGGTGGATGGCGTTGTGCTCCGCTCTCCTAAGAGCCATGACCCCGGTTCACAAGGAGTGGATGCAGTCAGCGAGATCAGGCTGTGGGGAAGAGGTCCCCGGCCACTAGTGCAGTGGGGAGGGCCCAGGGAGGCGGGAGGATCTGTCCCCTGAGGTTCCTTCTGCTCCCTGGTCTGCTAGGAGGGCTGCGGGCCCCACGATCCAGCCTGATTGTCGGATCTCAACCCGCCTGTACCAGTAGGGAAACAGAGGACTGCACCGGAGTTGGGCTGAGGGACACAGGTGTCCTCAGCGCTTCCAATGAGCTTCTCTGGCTTCAGTCCCCACATCCCCAGCTTCAGGAGGTGTGCAGGGGACGGGAGAGCTCCGAGGATCACCCAGGCTCTCCTGCGGGAACTTCCAGGGGTGTCACTGCAGGCTGCGTCAGTGGAGACAATTGAGGTGGCCGAGGACTGGCAGTGTGCTAAGTCACTGAAGGGTCCTCAGGGCCAGGGGCAACAGGAGATTCATTAGGGACGATCACCGGGCAGACTCTGAGGGCCAGACAGGACAAGCTTTGGCTTTGGGACACCTGTGTCACAGGTGGCAGTAAGCAGTGACTGGTCACTCAACCTGGCTACCCAAGGATCCTCTGTCCAGCGAGGGACTGAGGATCTATCTGTCCCATGGGAGGTGCGGGGGTGGGGTCCCTGCCCAGCAAGTGGAACCCTGCCTCAGGCCTGTCCAAATCTAGGCTGGGATGGATGGTATGTCTGTCCAGTAGACAGTCTTGCTGGCTGGTGAACTGGGAGGGCGGGGTGTTCCTCCACTGGGGTAACATCTCTTTGCCTTTTTGAGGCAGCTCTGTCTCCTGCTTGGTTGGGGCCCACCTTCCCACTGACTGGGGGAAGAGGGTCCAGGTAGCCACAAGTCTACCAAGATGTCTAGCTGGGGGTCTCCCCATCTGTCCATGACTCTGTCCGTTTGGCTAGCTGTCCATCCAGCAGGGAGCCTTCTTGTTTCCCTGAGATTCTGTCTTCCTTATGGAAGTGTGTCTGTCTGGCAGGCTTTGGGGGAGTCAGGGAGGGTGGGGTGGGGAGCTGTCACAATCTTTCTGACTGCTAGGGGTGAGGAACTGGCCAGATGCTTCCCTGTGGCCTATGAAGCTTAAATGGCTCAGGCTGTGGCCTGCCATCATGCTTGTAGCTGGGTTGGGTATCTGGCTGGCTGGCTGTATGTCCACTCTCACTCCATGACCCCTCTCATGGTTTCACCTGCCCACTTTCCTGACACCTGACTATCCCTCCAGGGCGGCTGCAAATGTCTAAACTCTCCTGGCCAGCCCCTGCTCAGCTCAGGCTGGGTGTGGAGGTGGAAAAGGCCCACCCACCCTGCTCTCCCTTGTCCCAGATGGACTGCAAGCTGTGTTGCTGCACAGGGACTGCTCCCTGCTGCTCTTGTGTACCAGGTCCCACACAGCTAGTACGGCCTGCAGAGCACACAGGAGCCCACGTGCCAGCCTGCTGCCTGCCCGGCCCTTCAGGATGCTTGCACCCTAGGGTGCTTGTCAGAGCTGGGGCCTGGGTGCAAGAAGAGGCCCGGGGATGCTTGTGCAATGCTGCTGGCTGCTGCAAAGGGGAAGAGGAGCAACCGCACCTTGACCAAGGAAGTTTGTGAGGCTGACATCCCTAGGGGGACAGTTCTTTGCTGTCTTCCTTTTTGACTAGGTCAAGAAGCAGCAAAAGAAATTTGAAATTTTTTTCTCCTCTGCTTCACTCTGTTAAAAACCTTCAGGCTGGGAGAGCGGTCCCCTTGTCCCAGCTGTAAGTCTGTCCCTTGTTTCCAGCTGCAGGCCGGAGCTCACTGCCGCAGGGAGAGCATTGGCTGCAGTGTTCTCTGCTCCCCTCAGGGGCCAGGTTTCAGGGTCCCAGATCAAGGATCCCTCCAGGGAGGAAGCTAGAGGGACACGGTCCAAGGCAAAAGCCACCTCTCCTTTCAGTACCCTGCCAACCCAGGACTGGCAGCTGTCAGTGGACGCTGGCTGACGCCCTCAGGAACTACCTTGTGATTCTGCCTTGGGAAGCCCCCAGGGAACCCTGGGAATAGAAAAATGATGTCCTTAAAATGCTCAGACATGACGACAATGCTGCAGTGTAGGGGGTTGGGCCATCGCCTGCATTGCCAGAATCCAGTCTAAGAGCTGGATGGAGTCCCAGCTGCCCCACTTCCAGTCCAGCTCCCTGCTAGTAGCCTGGGAAGACAGTGGAAGATGCTTGGACCCCTGCATCCATACGGGAGATCCAGATAACTCCTGACTGTAACATTTGGGACGTGAACCAACAGATGGAAGATCTCTCTTTCTGTAACTCTGCCTTTCAAAAAAATTTTTTAAAAATCCATATATATATATATATATGTGTGTGTGTGTGTGTGTATATATATGAATGACAACTCACGGGGGCCAGTGCTGTGGTGTAGTGGGTAAAGCCTGTGAAGCCGACATCCCATATGGATGCCGGCTGGAGTCACAGCTGCTCCTCT